CAACAAATCTCCACCTTGATACCCGATTAACCTACACGCAATCAAAATACAAAGTTAACGCTTAGATAATCCAGACAACCAATAAAATTGGGATCACGGGTCTTACCTCGTGTTTCGAACTCGAAACATCTACCATACCTGCTCCATGTACTCAACAGAGCTAAGGTCATAAACAAATACCCAAGTAGAATCAGATAATCACAGTAATCAATCAAGAGAAAATAAACATGCAATAGATATATCATATAGGATAATATAAATCTTTTAAAAAAAGACAAGTTCATACAGAACAATAGATTAACACCAAGTTAATCAATCAAGCGGCCAATACGTATGCAACAAATGCATAAATGACCCCACGAAAAGATCTCACCATACTTATCCTATCCCATTCCGTGTTGCTCACATTTCGAGAGCACATATCTCACCTCATCGCCCACCATGCTATCATTCAACTCATGTCTAACTGGTAGACCTCTATAGATCCTAAGTCCTTAGGATAATCATCTAGCACCACATCACTTCCCCCAACCTCAATGGATAATGGGTCTCCACCTAACAGAAGTGATAGAAGTGGCTTTCTCATACACTTTCTCTTCACAGATAAAGGATTCCAACAGTTAATCACATCTCCACTCATAATCAAAATGTCACACTCCACATCCCCGATACAAACCACCAAACCCCTAGGCATCTATACTCCACATCACCAATAGGCACTCAACATATATACTGCTAATGTATCTTAACCCACTATGCATGCAAACAATTACACTAAGTAATAAGATTGCTCTCAAAATTCATGCAAATGCACATACAAAACACATTGGAATACAACATATAACCATGCAACAGAATTAAGCAATCACACACATGCAGAAATGATTACACACTGATGCACATGCAGTAACTACTCTCATCACCAAACTTGTTCCAACCGTTGTCCTTCTTCTTACCACCCTCATCACTCGAGACTATTGTCTTGGAATCTACCCAAATTTATTGCTTAAATTTCATTATACTCCTCATCATATGTAACTCATCACTCATCTTATCATGTTTTTCGACCTTAATCTCCATCTCCTTATTCCTAAGGAAATCTATGACAATCTCGGGTGTTAAAATGTCTCTATCATACTTAATTGCATTTTTAACCTCTCTTTATATAAATCAGACATAGAATTAAGCAAAATAATGACCTTATAAGTTTCAGACACTTTCTCATTACAATTAACAATATCTTGAACAAGTTTATTGAAAATATTAAGATTCTCATCAAAATCCTTTAAATGATTCATTTTAAAATCGAAAATCTTTCAAGCAAGTACAATTTATTAGGAATTAACTTAAGTATATATAAGTCCCCCAACTTTTGTCAAAACTCTTTTGTAGAATTCAGTTTTTCAACTTTTCTCAAAATAGTGTCAAATAGGTGTAAAATAAATGAAGTGTAAGCAAGTTCATCATATTCTTTTTTTGTGCTTCTGTCAAATTTGCGAGAAATTTGTCATCTATGACTTTTGAAACTTTTTGTTGAACCAAAATTGATTTCATCTTTTGTTACCAAATTGAAAAATCATCTTTCCCATTAAAAATTTCAACTTCGAAATGTGAAAACATTTTGAAAAAAAAAAAAACAAAACAACTAAAGTGTACAAATAGGTCACACAAAGTAATCCTAAAGCCGCAGTATACACCGTTCTAGATTTTCAAGGTTTGTGAGACTCAAGATCTTAGTATCAAGGGAATGTTCAAACGTGTCAAGTCTAGGTGTTGTAACGTTATAATCAATGCAACACGAATGTGTGTCAATAAAAATTCAAATTTTCACGCAATGCAATCTCATACAGTCACTAAATAATAGTTAAAGAACAAAAAAATTGCCAAATTACAATCAAAATTCAACATTTCAAATATGACAAATAATACCTAAATTTCTAGTACAAGCAATATTAGACCCACACGGTAACTTCAATCATAATGTCACCCCATACGATAACGCGCTAATGTTGAAATTTAAATTGGGATAAGCCAATATACCACAATGGACCAATCTGAGNCTATACCGATTGTATCAATCAGAGTTTGTAAATATCTAGTGATGCGATTATCACTTTAAGACCACCACGTTTTGCCCTAATGTCTCCAACAATCGCAGGAATCAATCAACAACGATCGAATCCCAAACACACGATGAACACAATTTTCCAAACTTCATTGTATAACCTGAAATAGAAAATTAACAACACCACAATGTCAGAAAAATGTCAACAACAAACTGCATAAAGAGACGTCCGTTGGAAGATGTCGCACACGCCATCACGCGTCTGCCGAAGTTCTGTACGTGGTTGTCGCGCGCCCCACCACACGTCGCCAATGATCTCACGCGCCGCCACCCAGGAGCGCCTCCACCTGCACATCACGCCGGTGGTCTCCATTTCGCCAAACTCCTTCTGGATCGGTCCAAAATCACGAAAATAGCCTTGGATTTTGGGCAGTTTTCTGGATAGTTTTATGATATGTTTTCTGCTTTATTTCAGCCGATTTTTATGGCGATTTTTGGTTAGTTTTTCAAGCCAATCCACCACCTTGAAGCTCTGAAACCAATTGTCGCAGAAGCTCGCTCCAATGGTCATCAAAACAGTATCAGTTACCTTTCTCTACCAAACAATCAATCCAAATAGATTCAATCTACGACCAATATATCCACCTTGGTTGCTCCCCAATCTTACCCATAAAGGACAAGATAATAGTGATGATTTTTAGACCACAAAGGCACGAGAAAAACAATGAAAGAAACACGAGATGAAGGCCAAAACACAAAGAAGGCCAACAATTTTTTTTCTCTCCAAGCAAGTTGCCAGTGTTTCTCCTTTTAACACACGAATCACCCACAAAGCAGTTAGGGCAAAGACACCATATATATAGACTAGGTTAAGGTTTAGTTGAACCAATAAAAGAGGTTAAATGGGCCTAGATTCAAAGTCATCCAAGAGGTAATATATATTGGCCATGAACAACATTAATTGTTTAAGTTTCTTCCAACGGACACGTTGTTTTCAGGTTGAGCCTTTGAACTTGGTTGTTGATAGTAATTTAATCCAACGTTTACATCATTACTCGAGATTCACTGGGTATCAAAACCCAACACCACAAAAGGTAAGAAACTTATCTGACAAAACAATAACATGAATCCAATAAATTTCATACTTTGCAGCAAACAAAATGCTAGGATGCTCATTAAAATCAGAAGTTGATAAATTGAATAATATTGGGGAGCAGAAGAAAACTAACCAAGATCGAGATGATACTCATATGGGTTCCTCATCATTCTCTTCATAGTGTTATACTCTTCCATTTTACACTTTGAGTTGCTGGTTTAGACCCCTTTATTTGCTTCAATTTCACTCTCAGGAAGTTTGCAAGAAATTTTGTAGAATTTGAAGGAATTGGTTGAGGCTAGGTGGCATTGCATGCAGATGCAGTTAATGTGTTTGTATTCTTTGTAGAGAATAACAAAACAAAGGGATGTCAAGACAAGTGCAAGCAGCTGCATCCAACACCTCCCATGGCCGTTTCCCTCGCGCATCAATGGTGCATCATGTTTTCACTAATTTTTTAGGCTCATTTATACTTAGCCTTGTCTGACAATTATTATTTCAAAACTTTTTTCTCCGTACTCATTTTCAACCGAATATTAACAAAAAAAAAATTCCATGGAGTTTCACTCAAAAGTCCTAGACAAAGGCCTTACCTTGTAGACTAGGCTAGATACATAATAAAATTTAGAATAGTGCTATTTAGCACTAGTGGTCATTTCTCATAAAATTTATTTTAAAAAGATTTCTACCGATTTACGATGATTGGATAAAAAAGGATGGGATCGATAATAAATATTGGGCACTGTGTGATTGTTATAATAGATGTGTCCTTATTGGGCAATGTGTCCCTCTTTTGCCTAACTTTTATGAAACGGACGAGGAAGTGTGCCTATATTCATTGGATAATTTTAGTGTCACGTCACATATCTCAATTATCAACGTCTATATAAGATGGAAAATAACTAGTTTGCACGTAGAAGGAAGATGAGGAAGAGTTCCCCATGTGTTTTTCAAGTCGTCAGAGCGTAGAAGCGGCTCATTATGAGTGTCTCCATTTTTTTTTATGTTTCATAATGCACAACTTTCTATTGAATTTGTGTAATTCTTTTTCTTTTTTCTGTTTTTTTAATTAACAATGAAAATAATTTATTATCATTTTAAGGTTTTAATCCCTCTGTTAAGATAGAATTCACTATTTCAAAAAATAAAATTTTAATAATCGTTGTCACTTTTGATTGTTATCTTTGGATATTGTTAAGGTTTTGGCATGTTGTAATTCAATTTCTTCTTGTTTCATTTAAACGTAAACTAGACTGACTAACATTGAACTTGGTTAGACGTATTAGCTAGTAATAGTATAGATCGAGCAGCTGTGCCAAGCCAGCACGGCCATGTTTTCAGGTCAAATGGCACGACCCCTCATGGTTCATGAACGTCTACATTCTTGTCTAGCACGGCCTGGCTGTGGAGGCAAAAACTGGCTTAGGACACGACCCTATGAGGAAGGATCATGGCCAAACAAGGGTCGCCACAGCTTGGGTCGGCTAGGCAGACTGGTTTACAGCACAATTTGATACAAGCCATGTCCAGGGGGCACATTTTAGACACCAATTTATGTGGGGTGAAGTCGTACATCACTTCACGGAGGCCAGGATTCATGACCTAATATCGGTATTTTACACACTGATAAAAAGGACTGTCACATACAAAGGAAAATCAAAAAAAAAAGANCGGAGGCCGGGATTCTTAACCTAATATCGGTATTTTACACACTGATAAAAAGGACTGTCACATACAATGGAAAATCAAAAAAACAGAAACCTAAAAGTACCAATACAAGAGTACAACCGACTTAGAACCAACTAGGAATGTCAGTAGCTTTCCTACCGAATGCTGCTACTAATGATCCTGCTGTTGCTCACCTTGCCAAGCCCAGACAATTTCCCTAAGAGCTGGCCTTATGTCCTGTCTCAACATCTTCTGATAATCTACTGAGTCCCCACTTGACTTCTTCACCTCTACCAAATGGAATGATGAAGTGATTTCGTATATTTCCACGTCAATGAACAAAGTCCCATTTATACCCTCGCTCGAGCCCTCCAGTCTCATGAACCCTTGATCCTTTTTCTTCACCTTCAACTTTAGGCTCCCTGCAATATCCTCTAGTTTTGATATGATAGCAGGAGCCGGCTTTGTAGAAGTAAATTGCACCTCGTCTTTTTGGTCATTGCTCACGAACAAACCAGACAAGTCAAATCCAGTCGAGAGGGATATAATGTCAAATGCATTCAGGTTAGTAGGTTTTGCCACCTCCAGCTTCGTATCTGTCAGAATATCGTTCCCAGGAGAACCAGAATTGGAATTAAAGTCGAGCGGGATCTTTTCCACATCTTCTGCTTTAGTCCTTGATTGTCTGGATTTGAGACCTTTTCTGAACCAGGAGTTTTGCATAATCTTGGATATGGAAATCCTAGTATAGGGATTAGGATCAAGGATCCGTGATAGCAACTTTCGTACTTCTGGTGGAAACCAATTAGGGAATTTATACTCGGCCTTGCTTATCTTCTTATACATCTCCATCAGATTCGAGTCGTAGAATGGAAGATGACCGGCAAGTAGAACAAATAAGATCACCCCACAAGACCAGATGTCGGATTTTGACCCATCATAGCCTTTTCGGCTAATCACTTCGGGAGCGACATACGCTGGAGTACCGCATGCTGTGTGGAGTAATCCATCCTGGCGCTTGGACTCAGTGAGCGCACTCAATCCAAAATCAGATACCTTAAGATCTCCATTCTCGTCCAGCAGAAGATTCTCGGGTTTCAAATCACGGTGATAAACACCCCTGCTGTGGCAAAAACCAACAGCAGTGATCAGTTGTTGAAAGTATTTCCGAGCACTAGCTTCATTAAGCCTTCCCTTTGCAACCTTGTGAAAAAGCTCTCCACCTTTTGCGTATTCCATTACAAAGTAAATTTTTGTTTTGGTAGCCATAACTTCGTAAAGTTGCATCACATTTTTGTGTTTGACCAATCCCATAACAGATATCTCTCGTTTTGTCTGATCAATCAACCCGGCCTTCAATACTTTTTCTTTATCGATAACCTTAATGGCCACACTCTTTCCCGTTTGAAGAAGTCTTCCATAGTAAACTTTGGCGAAACTTCCTTGACCTAACAACCTCCCGAGATCGTATTTTCCCATCAACACACTTCCCTTCTCCTCCATTTCAAAAAACACAAACCTACTGAACTAATACAAGTTCTCCTGCTCCCACAATCTGATTTAATTAATTACAAGGCAGAAGTCCTAGAGAGAAGAACTCAAATCGTACGGTCATGCTTATTACAAAGGGAAGTTGACGAATCCAGGCTTTATTATGCATCTGCCTGCAAAACTCGATCGCATTATGATCTGTATACTGAACATTATCGTTTACGAACAAGACTGGCCTCGATGGAGGCACGGATTCACGGACCTTAGAGATGAAGGTCTTAGCATTCAACCACATCTTTCCACATTCCTGATCACATCTAAACAAAAGGATAATTAGTAACAAGCTTAACAATTCAAATTGTTGATTGTTAAGTCACACTTCTCAATCATATAAAGAACGATGACAAATCCTGCAACAATTCAACCACCCCTTACGGTTTTCTCAATCTTGTTTTGTTGACCACTACATCTAAAAGCTTAATTTGTTTAGAAGTCGACAAACTTAAATTTATTTTTTATAAAAGGGAACACAAGTCCACAATTTTCTTAAACGGATGACTCTGTTGGACATATTCATCCAAGGAAACTTAGATCATTCGTCTCTTTATCGATCAGACTCCCCCATTTCAGACACCAATTAAGAGATTACAGAGATATTTCTTCAAACCAAAAAGAGATTTAAAAAAATGCTTAAACTTAAAGATCAACAAGATTTTCAAAATCAAAATTACGTATCATAATACCGAAGAGACACAAATTCGAACAGAGAGAGTTTCTGGCAGGCTCACGTAGAATTTCAGTTTTGAAGGTCTATCAAAAAGCATGAGAGGGAAGAATTAAAAAAAGGAAAAAGAAAATCACATTTTCCCATATCCATAAAAAGACAATGTAATAAATGTAGAATCAAGAATCCATCCTTCTAACTTTTAAATGCGAAATTCATTAAATCTACATACCTAAAGTTATGACCTTCAAAACATATCGATTAACATACATTTGAATGTAAAACATTATACCCCAGAACAAGAATTCATTATATGCAAGAAATAATTTACAGGAATTAGAATAAAACCTCAAAAAAAAGAAAAAAAAAAAAAAAACCTTACATGAAGAGAGGAGCTTCGGAAAATCCGAAGCTTGAAGAGGGGGGAGAGTTTTCCAAAGCTTGAAGACGGGAGAGAGAAATGTATTTTTTGTACAGACAGATTATCAGTGGGCGCAAATGAATTATTAATAGAACGTATCGAAGCCGTAAGTTTGCGCGGTTGGTTCGAATTTTGTGTGTACCGCTTCTATGTAGTCGAATTATAGGTGGCTTATATGCAATTAACTAATTGGAGCAATAATGGACTGACATGTGGCGGCGCAGTTAATTAGATTCCATAGCAAAGACAAAATAGTAAATGGTATCTCCGAGTTGTATTCATGAATTCTTTCAATGATTTTAGAGGAAATTTAAAAATCTACCCTATGAAGCAAGGACAATTAAGGTTAAGTTAAATAACTCGATCCATCTCGAGATTGCATGAATAATCGAATAAGAAGATATTCTCAAAGAGTAATGTTATTCATCCCTATTTGGAAATGAAAAACACAGTCTATGTAACATTAAATGATAGGGTAAATTAAATACTTTAAATGATAGGTTAAATGAAATGTAAAATTAAATGACTTAATTTCACATATCATTTAATGTCACATTGACGTCACGTAGACTGTGTTTTCATCTCCACTGGGGATGAATAACATTACTCATTCTCAAATCCTAGAGTCCTTCCGTGTTTCCAAGAAACTGAATGGATAGTTATTACATCCGTACATAAATGTATTGTGCACACGAGGGACGGAGTCGGGCGTCATGAACTGTGGGGTCAGAAAGTGATAATTCCGGTTATAAAAAAAAATAAAATTGTTGGGCCAATTGACTCCACAAGACCCCCATGTGGATCCATCCATGCACACGTCAAACAAAGAAAGAGTTATAAATAACAACTTGTTAGATTTATCATATACTCTCAATTTAGTTATCATAGTTTGCAGAGGCGGACACAGACTTTTTAGGTTAGGGGGCACAATCAAACTTTTAAAAAGTGGCGAAAAATTAAAGTTAGAGATGTCTTATTACAATTGTTCTCTACATGTTCTCATNAGAATGGGTGCCACACACCCACTAAATTTAATAACTCGATCCATCTCGGGATTGCATGAATAACCGAATAAGAAGATATTCTCAAAGAGTAATGCTATTCATCCCCACTGGGGATAAAAACACAATTTATGTGACTTTAAATGATAGATTAAATGAAATGTTAAATTAAATGCTTTAAATGATAGGTTAAATGAAATGTAAAATTAAATGACTTATTTAATTTCACCTATCATTTAATGTCACATTGACGCCACGTAAACTGTGTTTTCATCCCCCACTGGGGATGAATAACATTACTCATCCTCAAATCCTAGAGTCCTTCCGTGTTTCCAAGAAACTGAATGGATAGTTATTACATCCATACATAAATGTATTGTACACACGAGGGACGGAGTTAGACGTCATGAACCGTGGGGTCAAAAAGTGAAAATTTTGGTTATAAAAAAAAAAATTGTGGGGCCAATTGACCCCACAAGACCCCCATGTGGATCCGTTCATGCACACGTCAAACAAAGAAAGGGTTATAAATAACTTGTTAGATTTATCATCATATACTCTCAATTTAGTTATCATAGTTTGCAGAGGCGGACACTGACTTTTTAGGTTATGGGGCACAATCAAACTTTCAAAAAGTGGCGAAAAATTAAAGTAAGAGATATCTTATTACAATTGTTCTCTACATGTTCTCGTATTTTGATAATGTTTCATAATTACATTATTTTCAATCTTGTCAAATACATCTTTCTCAATATATGCAATCAAACTATCATTCAACCATTGATCTCCGATTTGATTGCGCAGACAATTTTTTTTATACAAGTCATCACAGAAAATTATCTCTCGACTATAGCAGTAGCCACGAGAAAAACTAAGGTTAATGTCACAAGCTTGTAGACTAATGGATACATTTCATGGTTATTCTTTGCAACCAATTTCTGTGCAAGATCACTAATGCTTTGTAATCCTTCAAAATCTTCTAAGGTGTGAATGTCAAGAACATATGTATCTAATTGATCATCAAGTTCTCAGATATCTGCTGCATTAAAATCTACCCAATAATATCGTCATAGTCGAATCATTTTATTCTTGTCAAAGTATCAAATGAGTTATTTGGAGAAAAACACGCAACACAAAGGAACAAATCACTATTTACCTCAAAAAAAAACGATCATTTAACTACTGAAGTTACATATCAATGATAGTATAAAACATTTCTACGCGATAATGATGCAAATTTGTCACTGTTTCAAGATGTGAACGACCTAAAGTTATGAACATATCACCATATTGGGAACATTGATCTCGTGAGCTTCACAAAACAAACAAACAATTTCAAAAAAAGAATCACATCCGTAATCCCTCATTGTTTGGAGCTGTACTTTATATAATTGTACAAATCTCATGACATTGACAATATTTTGATCTTTTCATTATAATGCTTTCGACAATTCATTTGAAATCCTCAAAATCTTTTTCATGAAATGTAGATTAAATGTAAATTCAAATTTTAACATCAACACAAATGAAATACAAGCATCACCTCTTGTTCTAGTACTTGTAGTGTCAATAGCAATCATCTCAACAACATCGACTATGGCTAAAAACATGACAATCAGGTTAATTAAACAACTATAGTGAGAGCCCCAACGTGTATCACCAGGACGCTGGAGAGTAGTTTCTTGATTGAGACATCATCCACTTGACAATTCACCGACACTGAATGATTCAAGAACTTTCAGCATTTGGTTCTTTCAAATAAGATCACTCCGTTTAGCTGATCCACCAACAACATTTACCAATTTGTGTACTATAATGAAGAAAGTTTCAATCTTCGAATGTTTCTGTGCCACAGCTACAAGAGCTAATTGAAATTGATGAGCGAAACAATGAATATAGTATGCACTTGGATTTTCTTTCAAAATAAGTGCTTTGAGGCCATTATACTCATCTCGCATGTTACTAGCTTCATCATATCCTTGACCTCTCAAATTAGATATACTTAAGCTATGCGTTGAGAATAATTGAAGAAGCAGAGCTTCTTTCTTGTAGCAAGTGAATCTATTTAATGAAGATTGAAGCAGATGTTTATCAGCCCATAATGGTCTCAGGTTCTCAATCGCAAATTCACAATTGCCTTCTCAATAAATGAAGTCTCATCAAAATCTCTAAATCCCTAAAAGCCCTAATTAGAAATCTCTAAATATCAATTTCCAAAAATCCTTAAATCCCTAAATCAAAAAACATAGTACTTGTTGTGCTTGTTCAAAACATTAGATTAACAATACTATAACCCCATTACTTTCATTTTGAGAGGAAAAACTACGCTTACCTCATCACAGGAGGTCGAGCGACAACCAAGAGAGTGTCATGGGAGATCGAGAGAGGAAGGGCGGAGCCTGGAAGTTGGAACGGGAGAGTGGTGCTATAGTCCGTGGGTGTAGGTGTGGGTGTGGTCGTGTGGCGGTGTGTATGGTGTGGAAGAGTGTCGTGGGAGAGAGGATGGGCGGAGAGTGGTGTCATTGGTGCAGCCGTGTGGGAGACAGGAGAGAGGAGAGGAGAAATATGGGTTTGAATTTCAATTTTTTCCTATTTTTTTAAAAAAAAACTTCAAAATCTAGGGTGACCCCCTAGGTCACCCCCCGGTCCACCCCTGATATTTTGACACTCTTTTTTTAACTACTTGTTCTTATGTCAGAGTAATATCCGAGATGAGGTTCTCAACTCTATTTCCATTCCAACCATCTGCAAAATCGATAAGCACGAGAAAAGAGACAATTTCCAACATCGTGTTTGTACGAAGGAAGGTCGACTGGTTGACTTCTCTCTTGAAGATTGGGAAGCCAACTTACAAGTTCATAATTGGTACATATGTTTGATTGGAAGCACCAACTTCATTTAAAAAGAACGTACAATTATGGCCTTAGGGAAGGTTGTTCCAAAATGCCACTAGAGGCATGCAATTCTAATGATTCTTAGATTCTTCTTTGAAAATAATTAATATTCCAACTCGACAGATGCTGTTAATAGGACAAAGTGTAATAAATAGTCTACTTAACTTCGTTAATTAGAATCTACAAAATGATTAGTGATTCACAATTTTTTTTTTTTGCATTCTTAAACAATAATATTTTCAGTTGCCAGCAATTCGTTCTTCCCACCTCAACCAGAAAAAAACAAAGAAAAGGGAATGAAACCTACTAATATGATGGCTCAAATGCACCAGAATAGCCTGTCCCGGAGATGCTGAGACAACTCATTCGCATGAACATGCATTGTTCTCCGTGGTGAATTGGATTATACAATATCGAGCAATATTAAGAGAGAAAAATAAATTAAAATCTTATCATTGTAAGGTCTAATCGTACTGTACCTAAACAAAGGATAGACGAGCCGTACAAATGAAGAAAAAGTTAAAATCATGGTATGATTTAATTTTTTTAGGAGTGGAGGGACACTAGAATGGTGATGTTGGAAGGTGGGGTCAAGAAGTTCTGGACAATGGACCAGTTTGTATTTGCTTGATAAACCAAAATTAAAGCACTTGTAAAGAACTTGCTGGTGACTTATGGTTCATTTGTAGCAATACAGATTGATTTTCTTGTATCCTGGTCAAGACCTTCTGGACAGATTGTAAATTTTCCTGCATCAAGACATAAAATTATGCCTCGCATTCTTTGTTAATTATGCAAATGGTAAATACATACATATATACACACACGCTCACATTGAATTTTGTTTTAAATTTATAAATGAACATTATAAATTGTTTATCCTTCACTTAAAACTAACGGGTCAGTCCACGAGGCAAATGGCGAGTGCATTTCCAATTATGCAACGATTCCAGTTTGAAATATTATCAATTTCACAATAATGGCCTTCGCCGCATTGTCTATGCAACAATATCGGCAGCATTTGATCGAGAATTTTGCTATGAGAAATGCTAAATGAACATAAGGGTTGACACAATTGTCAAATGGCGGCCCCCTGGCCCCAACTCGTATATAGGCACCTATTGAGGAAAATGCACCACTGGTCCCCAATAGATTATCCTAGTAGCAAGTTGGACTCCAAACTTTTAAAAAGGAACCAATTGGTCCCAACTTTTCATTATAAATGCACAATTAGTTTCCAATTATGGAAACCCGTTCAAAATGCACCACCGGTCCCCGATAGACTATAGCATGTCCAAAATTTTCCCGATATAAATTTTTGATATACTATAAACTACCCAGCAGGAAACCTAGGTACTATTTACTGGCAACAAGACAAGTCTATAGGAAGAAAACGAAAAAATAATAAATCATCTTCAAACATCATCAAATGGAAAAAGAAACAGTGGGATTGGAGAATGAATGGATTAATGCTACAGAGAAGCCGGTCAAAATTGACTAACCCCTGATCAGCTTCTAGTATCTAAGCCCTTTAGCAACCTCGAAAAAATGAGCAACATTTTCTTCCGGTGTACCAACTACAATTCCATGTCCAAGATTCAATATATGTTTCCCTTTTCCAGCTTTTTTCACGGTATCCTTAATTCGTTCAGTGATGAACTCTTTCGAACCAAAAAGAACACCTGGATCCACGTTACCTTGGACTGCCACACCAGTGCCCAACCGCCTTCTCCCTTCAGCCATATCAACAGTCCAATCCAAGCTAACAACATCTACACCGGTCAAAGGTAGTCTCTCAATCAAGCCCCCAGATCCACTTGCATATAGAATCAGTGGGATATTCGGATGTGTTTGTTTCACAGTTTCGACTATAAGTTTTATGTAAGGCAGACTGAACTCTTCAAAATCCACAGGGCTAAGTTCTGTGGCCCAGGAGTCAAAGATTTGAACGGCTTGAGCTCCTTTGTCAGCCTGGTACTGAATATATTTTGCCATGGAGGTTGCAAACTTTTGAAGCAATGAGTGAAGAACCTATATGAGCAGTAGCGAATGACATGCTTAATATCAATTATCAAAATCATAATTATTTATATAGGGCTGCATAAATGAAACATGGAGTTAGCCTCCGTCTATCTAAGTGCCTTTATACATTTAAAACTACATCCAGGAACGGATCCAGAACCGNCCACTTGGAGAAAATATTTTTTATTCAAGTGGATCCCACCCTCATGTGAGATGGTGGATACCTTGATGTACACCAAATTATGTACAAGTAGATAAATTCTTTTTTTTTTTTCTAACTAAAAAAAATTTTTTTTTTTGGGGGGGGGGCTGGCCCCCCCCTAAATCCGTCCCTGACTACATCCTTGAAAGGATGAAAACACAGATGCTTTGTGTCTATATTTTGACTAAATTGGTACCTTGTTGAAATTGTTATCCGATCTTGACTCTAACTCAGGTAATTATGCTGATAATATAAGAAAAGACCATGTACCCATCCTCGGCTCACAATCAAGTTCACATTATAGTGAGTTTGTCTCATGAAGCAGATAAGACGAGCTTTCAGGTACTATTGATCTGGTAGGATTATTTCATTCAAATAATCTCAACAAAAATAGACCACCAGAAGAAAAGGCTATACTCATAAAAAATACGAAATCTAACATAGTCAGCATAATAAGTTATAGGAAAGCTTCTTATTACTGGCGCATGTCAACTAATTCTAGATTTCTATTGTTTGAAATTCATAATTTACTAAATCTCAGTTCTTGATAGGCCATAAATGCACAATACCTTCAGTGTGACGAGTGTCCTTTACCTCCGTTAACAGTGAAATGAGGGTAAAGTTTTTGTTTCCTTTTGCTTGCCTCTCTCTTATTTTTATTTCTAGGATTTACTTACATAATCAATGGTCACTTGAGAGAATTTTTTTATTCACTGAACCAGAAAAGGCAGCAAATCACTTCCCTAACTAGCATAATTAGAAATATATTACGTGTACACAGTGAAGGCTGGCAGATGAGCAACATAATGTTACCTTTGGTTGTGAAAACGCCAGTCTCTTTATTTTAGAGAAATGCTTTGAGGAACCTCCTTCAACAACATATGATGCCAGAGTGAATGGAGCCCCTACAAAACCTAGCACAGCTGCTTCATTATTCACCTGGCAAGGTAGAAAGTGTGTCAACAAAATGAATGACATGAAGCCAAGGGTCACACAACACACTATCCAAACCGTGAATTCATGGTTTATTTTTTAAATTCAATCTGAGATCTAAAATATTTAGATTCACCTGGAAACTTATATTTATATTAGCAAAATAAGAAATAACAGATATACATATCTCGAAACTGTTGGAAAAAATTCATGACCTAGATGAAAAAACAGGCACAAATATTTACAGACAGCATACGCCTATAGAAGATGAGTATCATAAGTATGGGATCCTTCATCTGAAGGTCACCCAAATTTCTCAAACACCAAAAGCTCGTCCTTTAGGCATTTTTTTTGTCTGTAGTTTGAGTCTTATTTTCTTGGAAGTGCAAGTACTGGATGATAAGAAATATATGGTAAACATTAGTGCTTTCACTAATGGTTAGACGTAGAACATGTTTAATTGTGCTTAAAAGCTACCTTATCTTACTTTCCAGAAAAGTAAGCCCCTGTTTGACAACCATTATTCAAAAAATCTTTTTTTTCTAAGTACTCATTTTCAATCACACAATAAAATATTCTACACGTAAACCCAAAACTTTTCCTTACTTTTTACCACACATTCTCCAAAAATTTACTATTCAAAACTTTGTTTTTGAATTTTAACGGCCATCAAACAGGGGCTAAGTTTTATTTAAAAAATTAAAACCAAGTATGACTCACTCGTTAAGTGCAACTAAACTTGCTCTGGATCATATGTACAAGAGTAAATTCTGTCTTATGTTAAAAAAAATTCACCTAAAATAATGATAAATCAAATAAGGATAGGGGCGGACCGAGTTAGACCTCTTTTCGCAAGATTGTTAATGCTTCCCCAACATATGGAACTGACTCTTCAGGAGTAAATTCTCTCACTTTCTCGACATCAGCAGCTGTCTGTATTGGATCAAAAATGACAGGACCCTTACCTTTTACAATGTCAAAGGGTATGTTCATACCGGACAAAGGGGTAAGAATATCTGAGAATAAAATGACCTGCAACAAAATTTGTCAAGAGAAAATCAGTGGATAGCACTTATTGATATGCAGATTTCAGCTTACGAAATAAATTCCTAGTTTGTATTTGGTTACGAGAATTAGCTTGTTGAGCATAAACAAATGCTTCATATGTTGAGCTTCTAGACTGATCATTATAGACTGAAAGCAAAATATATGAGAGTTGGGTGTGGGAGAATGTTTTGCATACATGTTGCTTCAATCAATTGCTCAAGTATAAAAGATAACATCTACAGAAAAGCATCTTACTCCATCTGGCCGAAACACTTTCCATGGCTGTAGAGAAATTTCCACCACAAGATCTACATTTTCTGATCTTTCACGAAACGATGGGTGCTTCTCACATATGATTTGGTAACTCTATAAAAGTAGAGAAAAAGACAGCAAGTTCAATATATAAATATCACATAATGTTACCAAGTATCAGGCTAGAGTTGAGAAATAACAGAGGTCAAATTCCTCTTTCAAGTCCATGATTTTATTAACATGTTGTATAAATAATGAATATGGAAAAGAAAAGAAGAAGTTTCCACATTATGTTTAACAAACTCAAACAACATGATAAAATGAACTTCAAAACCCAGGCCTAAACCTGCCTTCATGTATCTCCCAGCTTGTCTCATGAGCCAAACTGGGGGTCTCTCGACTTCTTTTCCTCTAACAGCATTAAGTAACAGAGGCTCAGTAACACTGGTAGCTTTTGGTTCAGCAACTGTCATTGGAAAGTAGGATGATGAACATATCAAATCTGAGCTTGCTTAACCAAAACTATTGAATAGTATTAAGTAAAACAGAAATAGTTTCTCAAGCAATCTTGTTAAGTACATTAATCATCAAACGCAAAGGAAAGAAATATACTAAATGAATCATTTAAAGAATACATTTTGATTTAAAGAATATTTCGCACCCATAATAGGAAAAAACAACAATTCGAAAGCATACTGAGCACACATCAAACTAGCATATGAAATGGGGTGTTCCATTAACTGAATTATAAGTCTGTAAACTGAAACTGTTGAATTTATTTACATCCGAGAAGAACCTCAATTTCAATTTGCATATATTAAAAAATGTCTTCGGAATTTTCATTAATCCGCTTAAATTTAAGCATAAATCCAGACATTTAACAATTATTATGTGATCCAAGCCGAAAATTTTCTGGGTTTTACCAAAGATTCAAATTTTCTTCCATAAACAACGCAAATAAAATTTAGAGAGCCAAATCGTATAAAAAACTATGATTAAATAAATATACACATCATTATCCACTATAATAAAGAAAATTAGAGAAATCTCTATTTACCTCCAAGAGAGCAACAGAATCTTGGCCGGCGATTAGATGGAGTAATCAAAGTCAATTTAGCAGAGATTGATGAAAGTGAGCTGCTATAAATGGAAGCCATTTTGCCCACTTTTAAATGAAAATTACAAAGACAATATTATCTCAATCTTGAATTCCTGTTTGCATCCTTCTCAGAATTTGATCTTCACTTTTGTTATATATAATAAACCCCATAAATTGAAGGGGAAGAAGGGATAAATAGATAAGGGACGAAATCTAGCTATCTAATCTTGTTTCGACGTTCGGACCACCTCGTCAGTTCAACCATGGGTGCAGTGGGGCCCCTGTCCATTCTTCTTCTTGACTTTTTTTTTTTTTTTTTTTTCAATTACTGCGGTAGGGTCTTCTCAATTGGGCTGGGCTTGGAAGTTGAGAGTCAACAGGAAAACTTAAAGAAATAGCACTATTTATAGTCTATAATGATACGGGTAACTTGAAGTGTATTCAATTGAGACTTTTAAAAATTTTGATAAACTTTTTTTAAGTGATGATTTATGTGAATTTTATGAATTTTTTAGACATTTATATGGAATTAGTGGTAGTTTTTTGTAGACTTTTATAAAATTTCATTATAAAACTTTTAGAGATTTTTGTAGAATTTAAAAGACCTTTAAAAACTTTCTTTTGAGATGAAATTTATGTGAATTTAGTGGAATATTATGAAATTATCACATACAAGGTGATGCTTCTCACAATTCCCTCTTCTCCTTTCTTTTTCCCCCATATAATAAACAAATATTTTAAAAAGAATAAAAATTTAAGACCTTAATTAAATAAATAATAATTATTATACATATAAAAAATAAATTTAATATTCGTATTATTAATATAATATACCTTTAAAAAATAAATAAATAATATATATTTAAATTTAATTATAAATTAGCCTATATAAAATTTTATAATTTAATTAAAAATAAATATTTTTTAGAAAAAATGAATGAAAAAGAAAAAAAAATTTATAATAATACAATTTAATTCTTTCATAAAAAAATATAAATAAACAATAAGAGAGAGAGAAAAAATAGAAACTAATATAATCAATAGAAAAAAATAAATTTTAATCATAACTTTAATGTTCGTAGAAGGGGAAAAAAATGGAAATATTGAAAAAAAATACATATTAATTTATTTACTTTATGTGAAAGTCTCCCAAAATCTTGTAATTAATGAGAGACAAATTTTGAGATTTTATTTTAGTGCTGTCTGCTTAAAAGTTAGTACCATGAAAACTTTTATAAAGGTATCTAAAAGTCATAAAAATTTGAATACCACAAAATTTATAGAGACTTCTAAAAAGTTTTAATTGAATATACCGTGACTTTTAGAGATTTTTTAAAAATTTATAAAAGTTTCAATTGAATAGATCAATACTTTTAGAGAATCTCTAAAAATCTACATTGACTACCCCTAATTTTTTTTAAATCCCAAAAAATCATTAAAAGTCTCAATTGAATACATTCACTTCGTTTTCATATTGAACCATTTAATTTTGCACGAACCAATACAAATTCACAACATCCTGATAGTTGTCAAGAACATTTCCTTTAGTTCAAGCAGTTCATAAATAAATTATCTTCGACAATTGAGGTAGATTTTGTAATTTCAATCAAGAATTGCAAGGAATAGCATTTTAGCTTAGTAGCAATCTTTTTATGTAATTGTTATAAAAAGTAAACGTGTTTTTTCGAGTCATGTTAATGATTCTCAAACAATCTTATGGTAGAACGAGATCAATAATTAGCCCCTATTTGGTGGAGCTTAAAATACAAATTTTAATACAAGTGAAAATCAACAATTAATTTTAACTATACATTTTATGAGACTCACAACTTTTCAACAACACATTTCATCAGCTTTTATCAAAATCTACTAAAAATTTGATTTTAATCTCTCCCAAACATGGCGTTACAGTTAATGCTTATATGTTTTTGTTGTGCCTGGGTGGACCGACCGACAGTAAAAGATTATAGTTCATAAAGATAATTCTACATGTGGGAGAGGCTGAACGCGGGAAATGAGCAAAGCTTTATCTTAATCAAACGTGACATTTACTTATATTTAACTTTAATTTGCTTAAGCTACATCATTTTTCTGATCAATTTGAAGATACGATAAGAGAAAAATTTACAAAATATCGATATAAAAGATTACAAGAGCATAGATGGAACTCGTATATCAGGAATATTAAGTGTTTCTAATCAACTTATACAAATTTGTAGAAATAGCTATTGTGCTTGTAATTACTGCAAGAGTTATCATGATTGCTGCTATGATCTTGTCCCTTGATGTAGAAATACCGTGAATATCTCTGTGGAAGAAAAACAAGTCACACGGTAAGTAACAAGAACTTGTTTTTGTTTTATAATCATGACCAGGATGGGTTATTTATCGATACTCGATCGAAAAAATGAAGTAGAAAACGCAAATTTTGAAGAATGTGTACGACTCAACCCCCAATTAATGAAAGATTGAATACCTTAATGCAATGGCACCAGGAAATATGAATGCTAGGCAGACTGCAGAAGTTGATCCCACAAACTGGAAGAAATACCAAATACTTGGAATGGTTATGGCTGCAACATAGGCCAATGCTAACAAAGCAAAAGTGAGGACCAAAAATCTTTTGTTGTCTGCTGCTAAAACCGGCTTCTTAGTACTGAACAGAAATTCATCAATATTTGTCCTCAGGGAGAAGTTCAAGAGTGGAAAAACCAGCATTAGATGGAATGCATAACTCAGTCGAACCAAATCGTTGAGCAATGAATTTATTGCTGAACCTGAACTCTGATCAAAGTTCACTAGAATGTCATCCATGGTGGATTCCCCAAACAAAAGGTACCCAAAAAGGCCGATGGTGAAGTAGATGGCAGCACATAGTACTAAAGCTATTTTGACAGCATAAAGCATATCAGCTGGTTTCCCCATCTCAACTCCAATTGCATGAACTGCATCAATTTGCAAGTTATGGTGATAAGAAAACCACTAGGGCGAGAATGTCGGGTCAAAACTGACAAAAAGAAAGGTGGCATCGATTACACGGATCCTTCTCTATATTCACGTATTGATATGTTTAATAGAAGATCTCGATAAACCACAACATGTTAAGTGTTTGGTATCCGTCTCTCTTCAAATTTGCTTTATGCAGATCACGCCACTCTTACGAACACGAGTCTCTTTTAAGTCGATATGATACATAACCCAACTACCTAAGTTGTCTATTCTCAATTATTGTTGCATCCACTTGTTGACGTATATTCTCATTTTTTATCTTATTCAATCTATTATGGCCACACATTTCCAATATGTTCTACATCTTCTAGACAAAATTCATGCACCACTTTTTTCCATTTCTCTAATAACACATTAAATACTTTCAAACGAGAAATTACACTTCAAATCTACAAAACAAAGCTAATGGATCATATGAAAAGATCAAAAAGAATTTTGAGTTTAGTTTATATTCTACGTATTTTATAGGAAAAAGGACATTCTCTTACCATTGAAGTGAAATGTGAATGCTGTCACAATTACTGGTACTGCCGTGAAAAGGTCGAAAAAGGAGGTTCCATTATCGAACTGGGGAACCAATTTTGGACTAACGGTTTCCCCTTTTACTATTGCAGTAATTGCCATCACTGAGCATATCCCAACAAACACAACTGCTAGAAAAACTGATACTGCTGAACTCAGCCATAATGATTCTGAAAATTTAAGCCAAACCAACAAAAAAAGTCACTTTCCAGAAATTCTAATATACATTTCTAACTTGCAAGTAGTGACAAAATGATTTGCGACACACATTCTTGTGAATAAAGTTTGTGGATTACACCGCGTATTACATAAAGTTTGTGGATTACACAGCGTATTAAATAAAGTTTGTGGATTACTCCGATAAACAAAGTAATTTGTTGGGTAATCAGGGCCCGTTTGGTGCACATTAAAATGAGAGAATGCATTTTTTTGAAGTGATGTGATGGAGAATATGTGGTTAAAAAGAAGAAAAATTTATTGATGTGATATAAAATATTATTTTATTGAAGGATGTGTGGTTGAAAATGAGTAGAAGAATCAGAATGAAAAAAATAATGTGGATCAAACATGGGCTAATTGTCAAAGAAAGACTTAAATTATACTTATTATTGATTCTTATACTTATGTTGGATCACAAAACGGTGCCTAACTACACTTACCTAACATTAACAAAGGAAAAGAAGAAAAGACTAATATAGACATGGTGTAGAGAATTAAAACCCTAATTCTATTTCACCCAGAGTAATCAATTGGCAGAAAGAAATAAAAACGCATAAAATTTACAGAGATTCACCTTTACGTGAGGTTACGTCATCTTCTGCATTTGCAATAATGACAAAAAGTCTACAAGAGAAAAATTATATACCTTTTTTAACCCCTCTCTCCCCTTTTTGATAGTAACTAAAAGTTCTTTAACCTCTCTTTTTCTCCTTTTTGATAGTAACTAAAAGCTTAACGATGGCTCTCTCTTGATAAGATAAATTAGGGCAAAATTGAAATTTATAAGGACTCAAATTTTTAAAATGTCCTTAATGAAATTTTGGTACGAGGATTTCGCCCCCACACCTGACAGGGGGACTTCTTGCCCTCATTCCAACCCCAACGGTGACCTCACTACGGAGGTCAATCGTCTCCATGGAACGACAATAATTAGACACCACAACTTAACACATGACACTTACCAACCCGACGAAACATGACAAGTGGAAGCATAACGACAACGACTATCAAGAGAAGGGCGACAGGCCGCAAATTCCACCAGTGGATGCCAAACCATTCTTGCAGAACCCCCAAATGCTCTGCCCCTTTACCAGACAGCACATCTCCTGATACAGTTGTGAAATTTCAATGATAAGCTCACGAATATATTGGAATATAGAATAATGATCAACAAGGTCGACCCTCAAGAATTCTTACCGATAATAATGAGATACATAATAAGACAACCAAGATTGGTGATCATAACACAAATCTGCACTGCAACAGATCCAGCCCTTCCAAAAGACTCCCTCATCAATCCAGCATAGGTTGTCGACTGGCCGGAATAAGTGAACCTTAACATGAACTCGACCGATATATCCACCACAAAAGCTATCAATACTATCATTGCAAAAGCTGGAAAAACGCCTAACACCTTAAGAGTTGCTGGAATGGACATGATTCCTGCACCAATTATGCTAGTTGCAACATTAAAAACTGCCCCTGGAATCGAAGCACGTTTCCCGTCAACGATGTCCGGGAGGAGAGGGGCCTCAGGTCCGGTACCACTGTTCGCCGGAGCCATGACGGGGAAGTGTTTCCAGTTTCTGATTGAACGTTGTTTGGATTCTGGTCATTGAATGTACATATATGCATAAGCCAGTGGACATGCATTATTGAGCAAGTGAAATGACCAAATTGCCAACTTGTTTGGTGGGTGGTGTAAGCTTTTGGGGTGTTGAAACAAGGGTAATTCTGGAATTACATTGAACGTGACAGGTATGGGTATGACAATTAGGATGGAAAACGTTATAAAGTGAAAATGGGAAATGTATTTAGACGGAATGTGGGTGGAGTGAATCATGTGACTTTTCTTGAATCCTGTCTGCTTAACTTATTATAATCACATGTTTTAATCATGAAACATAAGTTTCTTTTTCTCTAGGCTCTTTCTTAAATAGGAGCTTCACTCTGACGAGATGAACATAAAAAATTCCTTTCACTTGTTCAAAACGTTTAAGTCAAGAAACAAGTCAGAAATGAAGTGAAATGTAACGTAGTAAAAGATTTTTCTGTATATATGTAAATCATATTTGTCTCCAAAATCTACTTATATACAGAAAATGGGTTTCAGAACTTATAGTTGTTGACAACTTTGAATTTAAAATTTGTGATTCTTAACCTAACTCGTAATATTTGACCAACGGACCAATATTTAACAAATGTCACATTTACTTGAAAGTTCTATATGACAGCTACTAACAGAGAGTAATGGATTTTGGTCTCCTATTAAATTGATATCATGGACCTGAGTCTAGACAATGGACTCTTATCTTGGTGGATATTTTTGATTAGATAAGATGCACATTTTCACACGAAGATCAAAGTTTGATTTGGTAATAGATTTTGAAACCTACTAATCACTTTTGTTGTGATCCCCTTTTGAAGAATACGAAAGCAACTTGTTTAAAGAAGCATTACTACTTACTTACTTAAAAGTCATAACCATAATTGAATAAAAATGAAGAATTTTTTTGGTAAAAGTCATTCAATCTTTGGCTAACCATTTAGATAGAACATTTCCAACAAACGTATCTCAGAAGTATCAAAATCATGTGTTTCTATTAATGAAATATCAATTTTTGTACAATTAAAAATATAACATTCTCAAGAATATGGAGATAATAACAAAAGACAGCATGTATTGTGAGGGCAAATCTGATTTAAGGGGATGTGTCGTGTTGGCAAAAGGGATTTCAAATGGATTCAATGATTTAAAAGTCATAATCATCATCGATTTATGTAATAGTGGGACCAAATTACATGTGACGTTCGTTTCTTAACCTTCGATGAATCTGAACAACATACACGGAATTTTTCCGCTACCCCTTTCGATATTAGCCAAATATCCTTCACTTGTACTAAAATGAGACAAAATGATCTTGTTCCATTGACTACAACAACATAACAGAGGAGCTTCCTCCAAATTTCTGAACTAACTAAAAACTGATCAACATGAGCTGATTTTCACAATTGCCATAAGAACAAATCATTTCTTCAAACTAAAATTCGACGGATTTAAAGAAAATGACAATTAAACTCATTCGACATCAATCCGCTCCAAAAGATGGTGGCTGGTGACACTCTAATCAGGTTATTTGCCAAAGTAATCAGAGAGATTTGAGAAAATGGCAACCAAACTAGTCCCAACAGCTAGCATGATCACCAATACTGCCAATATCTTATCCCGACTGGTAGATATGCTATGCACATCTCTGCAATAAATTTACGAGGTGAGACAGGAACGAGGAAAAGAGGAGTTGAAGGCAACTTTAAAAGGGCTTAAGCATGTTTGGCTGTGCTTTAAGTAAGAAAAAGTAACTTATTTTGCCACACTTGATTGTCAAAGGACCTTAACTAAATGCAAAGTTACTTTTCCACAAATCAAGTCGTAAGAGAACATTTGGCTGTGCTCGAAATTTCTCATAGCAGACAAAACTTTGAAAAAACATGTTTAAGAAAATAAGTAACTTAACAAGGAAGTATCACTTGCTTTCAAGCACGGCCAAACAAGTTCAAAATAAGTAACATGTCCGTACCTAAGAATGATTGAGCTCGGGAATATAAACATGAGGCACACGACAGTCGTTGTCCCCATAAATTGGAAGAAATACCATATGTTCGGAATAGCTATTGCTGCCAAATATATGAATCCAAGTAGAATACACGTAAGAGAGAAAAATCTCACACTTTCTGCAGGTTTCTTAGGAAAGAGTAATTCATCCACGTTAACCCTTAATGAGTAGTTCATCACAGGAAAAACCAGCATTAGGTGAATTGCATAACTTAGCCTTACTGTATCGTTGAGAATTGTACCAACAAGGGAATCCGAAATTTTATCGAAGTTCACAAGCATGTCGGCCATGATTGAATCCCCAAACAGCAAGTACCCAAAGAAGCCAACTGCAAAGTAAATTACAACACATAGCACCAGAGAGATTCGGACTGCTAAGCTCATGTCGGAAGGTCTACCAAGCTCTGCTCTGACGGGATGAACTGCACACATGGTTTTTATAGTCAAGAAATGAGTCAAGCGCTATGAATAAATAAATATGATGATAAATTCTTGAGAATCAGGTCACGTGTTAGTGCTGCATATTCTCGAACATTTCTTGATTAATCCTGAAAAATCAGGTTATGTGATCATATTATTTCACCAAATGAAGCAAGAATAACCTGTCAATTTCTTAGATATATGCTTATCAGTTCTTTGACCTCAAATCCACAATTAAAAAAAAAAAAGAAGCCAGAATGAAGTAAGAGCCATTATCTTCATAAGCTCTTGTAATCATACCATTTACATGGCATCCAAAGGCTGTTGCAAAGATTGGAATGGTGGTAAAGAGGTCAAAATACGAGACACCACTTGCAAAGTCCGGTCCCAGCCTTGGTCTTTGGGTTTTTCCGACCCACATCGCATGTATTGCCATCACCGAGCATATGGAAACAAAAAATGCCGCTAGTAGCACAGATATAGCTGAGGCATGCCTCAAGGAATCTGTAGATACCAAGCTGTAAAAGAGTTAGTCGTTCGTGCATTCTGATTCTAAGAAAATCTGCTTCTTTTTTCACATAGAACAAATTATGGGCTATTTTTCGGGAAAAAAAAGATTTTGTAATAGTTATTTTTTGGAGATTTATGGTTAAAAAATAGGAAAAAGTTTTGGGTCTACATGTAAAATTATTTTTGGGGTTGAAAATAAGTTTGGGAAAAAAATAATAGTTTTCAAATAATGGATCTCAAACAGGGGCTATATGTATTATTAACCATGGTATAATATTATCAATTTCCTTTTGTATTTCAGGATGTCTAAGATCTGATCCAAATCATCTTTGCTAAGTTTGAAATAATTATAATTCATTTAAAATGAACTCCCTTAATGAATGTAGATCTAAGTGTTGACAGTAAACTTATAGACTGAGCAACATAAACGTAAACTAAGTATAAATGAATAACAAGATGGCCACTAGATTGTGTTCCGTTTGACTCCAATTATTCCCCATTAAATTATAATTTCTTTTCTCCTCTTATTAATCACACATTCTCCAATAACATAATATTACACGTAATTCCAAAAAAAATTCTTTCTTTTTTAACCACACATTCTTCAAAAAATTACAATTTCTCTCATTATAATGTAGAATAATGGGGGCCAAACGAGCGCTGTATATTCCTTATAAAGTACCATTACTAACCTATGCGCCGGAAAAGAAGTAACGGAAGTAGAACAAAGAGTACAATGAAAAGGAGAGAGCATGCACGCGAGTTCCACCAGTGGATGCCAAACCATTCCTGTAAAATGCCCAAGTGCAATGATCCTTCAGATTGGTTTCCCGAGAGGACATCTCCTGTAAATCATCAAATTGAATTATAACCATTAGCCTGTGATCATATGAACAATGACAACGTATAAAAGAAGTGACATAATAAACAAATTGCATCTAACAAATTATGAGAATCAATTTATGCCAAATACTTATAAATACAAATAAATTGTTGCTTACCAATGATAATCAAATAGATTATCAAAGCACCAAGGTTGGTAATCATAACACAAACTTGAAGTGCAATAGATCCATACTTCCCAAATGACTCGGCCATCAACTCGCCATACGTATTAGACTCCCCTGACTGGGTATATTTCAATAGGAACTCCACAGTGACATCCACGAAGAAACCAATGATTAAGATCACTATAAAGCTCGGGATTACACCTAGGACCTTGAAAGTTGCAGGAATTGACATAATTCCAGCACCGATCATGCCAGTCGAGATGTTGAATACAGCACCAGAAATCGATCCACCTTCATCAGATGTCTTATCATCGACCAGTTGGACTTCAGGTAGCAGAGGAGCATGAACACCGGCATCTGGATTCTCTGATCTCATCCTCCGCTATAGAAAAATAAGAGCATATTGGCCTTCTACAGCATTATATTTGTGTGAAAGGTGACAAAAATTGCAATTTGATATAGGCCACAGCCCACGTGATGGTCTACTGACTGAATTATTAAAAGCAATAAGTAGTAGTAGCAAAAGTTCATTTATGTGTTGGATTTTGGATGGTTCTGAGAATAGTTGACATATACTATTCTATCCTGTGATAATGTACATATGAGCTATAAAACACCAAAAACTAGCCAAACGATGGTCCAATGAAAGATCAGGATCCTAATCCTAATGTAGGAGATCATCACAGCAATAAAATAGGGTTCTCCGGCAATATTTATCCTTTATCAATATCAAGAATTTATTTGTCAGGATGTCAGAGTAATTAAGGGAAAGCGGACATCAATACAGTAATTTTCTAGATATCTTGATATGAAATGCTTTTGAAGCTTCCATTTCAAGAATTACAGAAACCCTAACTGGAAGCAAAAATGATGCCTCATAACTAATTTTTCCAGCAAATTAAGTAAAAACTTGAATTATACATGCTGACTGGAGTACAAATTAGGATAAAACAACAAAATCATAAGCAAATATTCAACTAGGAACGTTAGAGACCATCATTTTCTCGAAGA